TCCTAGAGAAATTCTCCCAGAGGAACCAGGAGCTACGAAGAAATTCAAACAGTTTTGTCCATAATAGTCAAATGGACAAAAAGAAATACAATTAAGGCATATTCATATAACAGAGAGGTGAATTAATTACTCCAACTCATTAATGTGGGTGATTTTCAAAAGCCTAAAGTTAAAGCTAAAACATAACAAATTAATAAAAATAGTCTGATTCCATTTAAAAATCAATCTAAAATAGGCAAAACAAAGCAATATATTGTTTAGACTTATATACAAATACAGTTAAATTTTAAAGAAAAATCAATGTAATAATTAACACAAAATTCAGGATCTTGGTTACTTGAGGGAGGTGACAGAGAGTGTGGCAAGGAGGAGAATGTGACCAGGAAGGAACATGTATTGAGCTTCTAAGTTGCTGGCAATATGCTATTTTTTTAAGTCTGGTGGCAGGGGCATAAGAATTCACTTTATCATTATTCTTTAAGATTTACCAATACATTATACACTGTTGTACCTGTGATAAATGCTTCATATTACTTTCTAAAATAGGCCATCTCTATCTACTCAATCTAAAATGCACAACTAATTACTCTATATTAGTCTATTTTAATAATCTAGATTTTTGGTATGATTTCTCTAGCTTTGAACTACCTAGCTGTTGGACTATTTGTCAGAAGTTCAGAATATGCAACAATAATTTTCAAAATACTTATCCTGTGTATTTTCCATGCAGTTTAGGTAATATGTCAAAAAATAGCCACAGAAAAATGTTACTTTTTAAATTTTGTTTAAAGGTCATTTTCCACTACAAATCTAAAATGACCTTAAAGATCACATATCTTTTAAAAATAAATGGCAAATTCAAAATTATAAAAGCTATATATGACAAACCCACAGCCAACATCAGACTGAACAGGGAAAAATTGAAAACATTCCCGCTTCGAACTGGGCCCAGACAAGGTTGTCCTCTATCACCACTTCTATTCAACACAGTGATGGAAGTCCTAGCCAGAGCAATCAGACAAGAGGAGGAAATCAAGGGTATCCAAATTGGGAAATAGGAAGTCAAACTATTGTTTTTGCTGATGATATGATTTTATATCTAGAAAACTCCAAAGATTCTGCCAAGAAACTACCAGAATTGATAAATAAATTCAGCAAAGTCTCAGGTTACAAAATCAATGTACACAAATCAGTAGCATGCCTATATTCCAACAACAGTCAAACTGAGAACCAAATCAAAGACTCAATACCTTTTACAATAGCAAACAGGGAAAACTATGAAACACTGAGGAAGGAAATAGCAGAGGAAGTAAACAGATGGAAAAACGTAACATATTCATAGATCGGCAGAATCAACATTGTTAAAATGTCTTATACTACCCAAAGTAATCTACAGATTCAATGCAATCCCTATTAAAATACCAAATCATTTTTCACAGATCCATAAAAAATAGTTCTACACTTCATACGAAACCGGAGAAGATCCTGTATAGCCAAAACAACATTAAGCAAAAACAGCAAATTGGGAGGCATCAATTTACCAGACTTCAAGCTATCCTACGAGGCTATAGTAACCAAAATAGCAAACAACATGATACTGCCACAAGAACAGAGACATAGACCAATGGATCAGAACACAGAACCCAGATATAAAACCATTCTCATATTGCCAACTGATCTTTGACAAAGCAGACAAAAACACACTGAGGAAAAGAGTTCCTATTCAATAAATGGTGCTGGGGAAACTGGACAGCCACATGTACAAGACTGAAAAAGGATCCGCATCTCTCACCACTTACAAAAAGCAACTCATAATGGATAACAGGCTTAAACCTAATGCACGAAACTATAAGGATTCTAGAAGAAATGGAAAAACTTTTATAGACATTGGCCTAGGCAAAGAATTTATGAAGAAGACCCCAAAGGCAATCATAGCAACAACAAAAATAAATAAATGGGATCTGATCAAATTCAAAAGCTTCTGCACAGCCAAGGAAACAATCATTAGAGCAAATAGACAACCTACAGAATGGGAGAATAAATTTGCATATTATACATCTGATAAAGGGCTAATAACTAGAATATATAAAGACCTCAAGCAAATCAACAAGACAAAATCAAGCAACCCCATGAAAAGGCGGGCAAAAGACATGAACAGAAACTTTTCAAAAGAAGAAAGACTAATGGCCAATAAACATATGGAAAAATGCTCAACATCTCTAATCAACAAGAAAATGCAAATCAAAACCACAATGAAATATCACTTAACTAACTCCAGTGAGAATGGCTTTTATCAAAAAGTCCCAAAACAACAAATGCTGGCATGGATGCTGAGAGATAGGGACACTCATACACTGCTGGTGGGACTGAAAATTAGTACAACCTCTGTGGAAAGTAATATGGAGATACCTCAAAGAGATACAAGTAGAACTACCATTTGATCCAGCAATCTCATTACTGGGCATCTATCCAAAGGAAAAAAAGACATTCCATAAAAAAGACATCTGCACTAGAATGTTTGTAGTAACAAAATTCACAATTGCAAAGATGTGGAAACAATCCAAGCGGCCATCAACATGAGTGGATTAAAAAAAAAAAAACGTGAGTGGAGTAATAAAATGTGGTATATATATACCATGGAGTACTACTCAGCCATTAAAAAAAACTGGTGAACTAATACCTCTTCCATTAACCTGGATGGAACTGGAGACCATTCTTCTAAGTGAAGTATCACAAGAATGGAAAAACAAACACCACATGTACTCACCATTGAATTGGAACCAATCAATCAACACTTATGTGTACATGTGGAAATAACATTCATTAGAAATCAAGCAGGTGTTGGGGGGAGGAGATGAGTAAATTCACACATAATGGGTACAGTGCACATTATTTGGAGGATGGGCACACTTATAACTTTGACTCAAATGGTACAAAAGCAATTTATGTAACTAAAACATTTGTGCCCCATAATATTCTGAAATAAAAAATAATAACAAATTTTTAAAAATAAAAAATAAAAATAAATAGTACACTGAACTGGTTTTTCAATCTGGCTTCAAACCCTAATTGTACCACTTTTCAACAATAAACCTGAGAAAAATTTTTATCCCTGTGAACTTCACCTTTCTCACTTATAAAATGGAGATAAAGCTTAACTTACGGAATTTTGAGGATAATGAAAACCTCTGAGAAAGTGAATAGAAAAGTGTCTTAGGCACTTAGTAGCACTTAACAACGTTTATCCATCTCTAAGTTTCAGCCATGAATTTTGTTCCTCACTGTATTTTCCTGTTAAAGATTCTCTTTAAGTTCCATCTTTCTGCTGGATGCATGCAGGTAATGATGAGACTCTAGGGTATTGCAAAGCCACAGGGTAGAAGCAGCCTGGGTCCTTAAATTCATCATATGTAGAAGAGCTGCAAGCCAACTAGAAAAACTCATTTTGGATGCTTATAAAAAATAAAATCCTATAGTGTCTGAGTCATAATACATTCTTATTTTGTTTTGCAAGAGCAATTTAGTCTATCTTGATTAAAATATTATTGAAAGATACTACCAAAGACTGAGTCCTCTAGCCTCTTTCCCTACTCAGGAAACCGGAACTCATGCATTAACCACACATACAGGATACTGGAAGTTTCCTCTCAGGGGAAACTGACTAGATAAAGAGAAATAACTTGCAGATAATAACAGTTTGGTGGGGGAGGGGTCTCAATGAAATAGCCAGGTCAGATAACCCTAGAGTGAAGCTCACTGCTTGACAAGACCCACCCATGCTCATAAAGATTTTAACCCTTTTTTTTTTTCACTCTAAAATATATTATTTTCAATGTAAACAATTAGTAGACACAGGAAGGGAAGTATATTTGGGGGGAGTCGTGTGAGGAGCCCAAAATCTTCATCTTACAAGTCAATAGATAGCAATCTGTGTTACGTCCCTCCAGCACTTTCTATTTTCTGTATCCTACTGTATTTGTCTTCATACTATTTATTAATGCCTGATATATTTTCCATTAATTTTTTACTTGTTTCCTTCAGCCTGTATCTTCCAAGAGGACAAGAATTTTGTCTTTTGCTTAATTCTGTACCCCAGTTTCTGGAGAAGTGCCTGGTGTACAGAAGGAATTTAGTAAATTTTGGTAGAATGAGTAAATGAACTGTGAATTTCAGGATAAAAAAAAGTCTAAGAAAATAAATTTAATCACATAGATACGGCCCTGACACAAATGATGATTTGTTTAGTCCTGCATGGTTACAAATGGATGAGTCTCTTCTGGAAAATCTGATGTACCTCCTCTGGATTACTAATTTTAAAAAGTCTCTCTTCCTCTGAATGGATGACTCAAAAGCCCTTACACAAGGTACAACCAACCAATACAACAACAGGTAATAGCCCCGTAATAATCCCCTAGTCCTAATAATGTAAGCAATAGTACAATAATGTGTGCAATAATGTGGTTATTAGCAAGAATAATGTAAACATTAATATAATGTAGGTTAGTGTAAATTAATAATGTAACCAATTAACTAGTTTTATCGCAAGCATTATTAGATGCTGGAAGGAAAGAGAACTTTGGGGAGTGATATGAAAGAGACATAAATCCTCATCTCTTCCTTAGAAAGAAGTCCATAGATACTATCCATAACTGAAAAATCAAGAAATAGCAGAAAAGGCTATTTAAAAATACTGAAACAGGCATTAGAAGAAACAGCTTAAAATGTTGAAGGTGGTTATTCTGGGGACCAATACTCCGGGATTGGGAGAACTAGATCAGAGATCTGCTGTTTTACTTTTAAGGTTTACAGGAACATGCACAATCCCCGCACTTTTACGAATTCTACACAACTGGGCTTTGTAGCGTATGAGGTGGTGGGCGCAGAAAAGTGGAGCAGAACCGATCTCAGCACTCAGCTCATTCTAGTATCACCTCTAACATTGCGGCAAGAACGTCTGAGAAAAAACCGGCAGAGCACCGGTCAGCTCTAAAGACACGCGCCCCGCCTCCCGGCCAGGGGCGGAGCCCACCCCGCCGACCCCGCCCAAGCCTGCGTCAGCCTGTTATCCAGTCGCCGCTCACTTCCAGGCGGGAAGCCGTAAGAGAAGTCTCAGAAGGGACGTGGCTGGCGCCTTTCTCTGCGTTGCAAGCCGCGCCATGCTCGCCCTCCGGAGCGGCCTAACTAGGGCGCTGGCTGCGCGGATGCTCGCGCCCCAGGTACCGGCCACAGGGGTGCGCCCGACCACTACCCGGGGCAGGGGCGGGGCCGGGCGTCTGCGGAAAGCGCGGGAGTCCTGCGCGTGCGCCTCCGGTTCGCAAGCCCAGACCTAGAGCATCTGCGGGACCGCCAGGTTCTTGAGCGAGCCCCGGAGTCCTGAGGCGGGGACCCCGGGACGCAAGTGAGAAGGGCGCTGCCAAGGCAAGGGTACCCTTCCGAGGTCGCCTCCTGACCCACTTGCGGGCAGCCGGGGACAGAGGGCTTTTCTGGCCTGGATACCAGGCGGCCCCGAGGACACCCCTGAAGCGGTTTTGCAGCCCGGCACCATTGCGGCTGCGGCTCACCGAGCGCTGGCCACGTAGTCACCTGGCGATATCAGGGCTCCTGTTGATTTGTGGCCTTACAGGCCACCGCCTCCTCCATAGTTTAGATGCAAGCAGGGCAAAGGCCAACCCAGCCGCTTGCAGCAGAACCGGCCTCCCCCTTTGAAACGAAATACACAACTTGCCAGCATTTTCTGGAGAACCTTGAGGAGGCGGCCCAGGGTCCCAGTGGGGCCGGACCCAGCCCAGTCACCCGAGCCTCGTCCGGTTGGTCCCCAAGCCAGGCAGGGTCCCGAGCCCTGGAGCCAACATGATAAACTCTCTTAATCTTCGATGAGAAATGTACAAAACGGAGCTTATGATTCAGCTTACCTGTCGCATATTGGCCTATTGATTTCTTTTCCTTGCGGTGTTTTAGGCCTTTACTCCTTTCTCAAGGGAAAGGATAGGAAGGGGGTTATCCGATTCCAGAGGCAGACTTTCTGGTGAACACTGAAGAAGACAGTAATGTCCATTCACCCTAGATTAACAATGCAGTCTTTATCCTTCTGATTCTCCACTGGGGCAGAGTCAAAAATTATTTCCTTACAGAATTATTCTGAACTTTTAAATGTCTACCAGTTGTTCTCTTATAAGTGAACTGAAGTCGTTGCTGGTGAGAATGAGACCTAAGTTGGACGTAAGGGCGCGTGAAGCACTCGATTTCTGTCCCAGCCCAGTTACAGTCTTTCTGGGACAAAAATCTTACCGCCCCCCAACCAGCCACCCACTTCTGTCTTACTGCAGGTTCCTTACTGTATATTATTCCTGTGAAATATAATAAAAATGTGTGCCTTTGGCCAAATATTTTGTCCTCCAAATACAAATTAATCAAATCAACCTGAAATGCAATTGTTACAAATGCCCTATAGGCCCATTTTCTGATTTATTTATGATATTTCTTAAACTATGGATACTAGGCAGTTGTTTATTCTAATCACATTCGGTTATTAGAGTTTGGTTAAAAGGCACAGAAAGAATGTCCACTAACAGCAGGGGCAGCTGCAGTTGTTTGGAGGGGTAAGCATAGTTATTTAGGCAGTAAGAATATAACTCAGATGTGAATGGAATTATCTCAAGATAGATGATTATCATTAAGCCTTATTATGCACAATTAAGTAAAATACATATAGTGTTGTATTTTGTAAACAAAAATATATCAGAGAAAAGCCCACTGCTTTCGTTAGACATTACCAGGTAGTCAGTGTAAGCCCTAATTCGTCCATCGCTTTGTAGGTACCAAAACTGCTTTAATAGATTATTCTGGCGTCATCAGCTTCAGAAAATGGACACATGCTAACTAAACTTACATAAGATGGATTTGTACACAAGAATGCCAGTTAAGTTCAATCAGAAAATGAATTAGAAATTTATAGTGAATGTATGGCTATTTCAAAAGGAACTAATGATTCTTAAGGAATATATCCATAAACTTGGTGTAGCTGGAAGCACCAAATGCCCTTCTTTATATTGCATAATTAGAAACTAATTATGATTCATAAAATTCTGATTCTGAATTTTTTCCTTTTTCAGCTTTCATATAATCTACCACTATATTACAATGCAACTGGACAGGTCATAGCTTTTTACTGCATTAGTTACATTCCATTTCTATTTTTGATCAGTAGTTTACTTCATTGAATTTAGGAAATGCTTTGACCTGAACAGTAATTTTCATTTTTTTAAGAACCTAAAAGAGTGCTCTGCTAGTAAACATTGTTTTTATTGTGCCTGCCAAAAGATGAGCACATTTTGCAAAGTTCTTTTGTTTGTATAACTGTAACACATACACTGTTGACTGAAGATGGAATATTGGCTAAATAAGGGAAAACTCTTTATATTAGGTCATTAAATATGAAATGTCCAATTTCAAATCAAAAGTGTATTGTTATATTTCAAACAAGAAGCAGTACAGTTAATTAAAGTATGCACAATTGTGTAATTGTGCACAGTAATTACACAATTACTGTGTAATTAAACTATCAACACAGTTTTGCCATCTTAACGGTAGCTTATTTATGCCAGAAGCAAAGAAGCCTGGAGAGCAAGTGGCGATGACCTAGCAAAAGGCATTTTCAGTTTGTTAAGAATTGAATCTTTTTCCTTGCAACAAGTGGTCCAAAGCCTGAAGAAATGGTAGAAACGGTAGTCAGTCAGTGTGAGGTCTAGTGAATACGGTGGATGACAGAGAGTTTCCAAGTCCAGCCTCTGTAGTATGAGCAGTGTTGTTTGTGTGACGTATGGTTGAGCATTGTCCTGCGAAATTGGCCTGTCTCTATTAACCAATCTCGGCTGCTTAATCACATCCTCATCATTTTGTCCAGTTGGTTGCAGTAGACATCCACTGTAATCGATTGACCAGGTTTCTTGAAGCTGTAGTAGATAATACCAGCACTCCACCACCAAACAGACACCATTAGGTTTTTTTGATGAATGTTTGCTTTTGGAGTGTTTCGGCACTTCATTTTTATCCAACCACTGTGCTGAACACTTGCAATTGTCAAAAAGAATCTATCTTTCAACACACATAACAACAGGGTGTAGAAATAGCTCGCCTTTATGTTGTGACAGCAAAGAAAGGCAAGCTTCAAGACGATTTCTCTTCTGAGCCTCATTTAATTCATCCAGAACCCATCTATCCAGCTTCTTTACCTTGCTGATTTGTTTCAAATAGTCCAATATTGTTGGAATAGTAACGTCAAACCTTGCTGCTAATTCACACATAGGTTGAGATGGATTCGCTTCCACTACAGCTTTCAGCTCAACCATTACCCACCTTGGTCTCAGGTCACCCATGTGGCTCATTTTCAAAATTAAAATCACCAGAATGGAACTTCTCAAACCATTGATGTACTGTGTGCTCATTAGCCACATCCTTCCCCAAACACTTCATTGATATTTTGAGCTGTCTGCCCTGCATTCGCTCCATGACGGAACTCATATTTGAAAATAACATGAATTTTTGACTTATCCATGTTTTCACTCCAAAAACTGCTCTAAAAAAAAAAAAAAACTTCGAAAGATAATCACAAGCCAAACTATGCCTTTGAAAGACTAAGGATGTACCTTCATAATAAAAATAAAACCATTGTCAAAGTGAAATGTCAGAGATATCAACTGTCAAACTTAGTACGTAAGGAAATCGGACATTTCATACTTAATAACCTAATAAATTTATGAGAATCCTAACTGTAGTTCTTGGGTAAAGGAATACAATGAAGACTCCAGTGTCTTCTTATGAACAACTTTTCATGAAAAAGTGGCTAAAGGCAAACCCTTGCTAGGAAACAGTAACTATGTATTCAACATATTTAAGAGTAGTTAATCTTTATTGACATCTCTATGTAAACAAATGTAAATGGAGAGTTGGTGAGAGAAAACATGGATGAGTCTACTGAGTGTACCCCGTACGCAACTCAGATTTGGTTGTAACGTAATATAACAAATCCCTACGTTCCTCAAAATATTTAAATTTGCCTTGTCTTTCTTCAGGTGTACTCATCTTTTGCTACAGGCCCCAGACAATATGATGGGACATTCTATGAATTTCGTACCTATTATCTTAAACCCTCAAAGATGAATGAGTTCCTGGAAAATTTTAAGAAAAATATTCATCTTCGGACAGCTCACTCTGAATTGATTGGATATTGGAGTGTAGAATTTGGAGGCAGAGTGAATAAAGTGTTTCATATTTGGAAGTATGGTATGAGTCATCCAGCTTAAGTGTTCAGTAAAGATTTTTCATTCTGTTAGATATTATGTGAGACTTAGTTCTTGGATCTATATTTCTGTAGATACATATAAGTTATTAATGAGTAAAACTTTTAGAAAGCAATACCTATAATGTAAATTCAATGATTACTTTTCCCAGCGGTACACCTCTAATAACCTCTTGCTTGAACTCTTAACGTTTTTATAAATTGGAGAGTGTGGAGTCTCATATATAAAATCATAAAATTATGAACTAGACTTTCATTCTCAGAAAAATTTTAGAATGGTTTGTTATAAAGATGGTTTATGAAAAATGTAAAGCAGTGATTGTAAAGTCCAGCTTGGTTAAGATCACAAATGGAAAGGAGAAATATCTTTTCTTAATTATTAAAGCTACTGCTGGATATCAGGGTTTTTTGTTTTTTTGAGACAATCTTGCTCTGTCACCCAGGCTGGAGTGCAGTGGAATCATCATAGCTCACAGCAACCTCAAACTCCTGGACTCGAGTGATCCTGCTGCCTCATCCTCCCGAGTAGCTGGAACTACAGGCACACACCACCACGCCTAGCTAATTTTTCTATTTATAGTAGAGATGGGGGTCTCGCTCTTGCTCGGGCTGGTCTCGAACTCCTGAGCTCAAGCAATCCTCCCACCTTGGCCTCACAGAGTGCTAGAATTACAGGTGTGAGCCACCATGCCCAGCCTTGGATGTATTTTAACAGGAAAAATTAAACATTTAAGGGCTTTACGAAAATGGAGGTTTATAGGGGATGATGGTTAACTTTTAAGCCTCACCTAAGTCTGAGATTTAATAATTCTGTTATGTTTACACACTTTTGTTTCATTTTTGTACCCCAGAGTTTCAAGGAATTCACTATCATATTACTCTAGGTAGGCAAAGGAAAAGGAATCAGAGTTCCTCCCATATTGAAGCTGACCTATTCCTAGGTTTAGAAGAGGAAGGAGAACAAGTTACAAGAATCCCCAGAATGTTTGTTACTCCTGTGTCCACATCAGAACTTGATATCCAAATAACTTAATAATTTCATTTAGTGTTTGGTTTAGAGTTTTTCCCTATTGTAATAGAACAAGCCCCATTAAAACACAATTCATGTTTTAAATGCAGTACAAGTTGAATCACAGCCCATTATAAAACTAATAAAGTCCTGACATACCTCACTTAAACTGTAAGATAGGTGTTATTCCTTATCCCCAATGGAAACCATATAAGATTCTTTTACCATTAGTCTTGTGAGGTCCTAACAGTAAAAATAGCACTGGGCCCATACATTGGTAAATATATTAACATATACCTATTTGGGTAACTTAGAAGAGAAATAAGTTGTAAGGAAAATGAATGAGTGACAATAAGAGAATTGGTACTATTTCTTGGAAAGCTATTTGTTTAAAGGAGAAGAAACTTAAAAAGTACATTTTAATTTCACTTATTGTTAAACTTGATTCAAGGTGTGCCTTGACCTGAACCACCACTACCACCACCTCCAAAGAAAAATAGTCTTTCTCTAAACTAGCACTATAAATTAAATGCCTCAATTACATTAATAAGAATAGTCCATATAGAGTACTAACTACATGCCAAACGCTATTCTAAGCTCTTTCCATGTATTAAGTCATTTAATCCTCACAACCACCCTGGAGGTAGATGTCTTATCATCTCCATTTCACAGAAACTGAGGCACAGAAAGATTCAATAATTTACCTTCTCACACAACTGCCTACGTGGTAGAGCCTATAAAGCCCAGAATATGATATTATTTGTCTGCATTTCTATTCCCCTTTTAGAGCATGAGAACCTTGAGGGCAGATGTTACTTCTATTTATGTTGGTATCTCCAAAGGCATAACACAGTGTTCCCATATGGCATCAATGAACATTTACTGATTTGCGTGAAATCCAAATAGTACGGGTGATTTTAAATTTAAAATTTTTTTCTTCTTTTCTTCCATAGATAATTTTGCTCATCGAACTAAAGTTCGGCAAGCCTTGGCCAAAGATAAGGAATGGCAAGAACGATTCCTTATTCCAAATTTGGCTCTCATTGATAAACAAGAGAGTGAGATTACTTATCTGGTACCATGGTGCAAATTAGAAAAGCCTTCAAAAGAAGGTAAGTCCTTCCTTTTTAGTCACTTTGAGTTTTAACAAATAAAATACTAAGGAGCTTAAGCAATAAAAACTAAAGCTCCGCTGGAAAAAAAAATAAAGTTTATTCTTTGTTTTATATAGGAATATAGAATGATTATTGAGATAAAAATAAGTTAGAGCTCTTAGCTGATCCTTAAAGAAATGAGCATTAGATAATGAAGTATTTTTCCAAATTGAGGTCTTACGTATTCATAAAGCTTAGCCGTGCTACAGAAAAGGGTGACACAGGAAAGGTTGAGAAGTTGTGCATTGGGAGCAGGGAACATGTGTGGGTAAGTAAGGGATACTGAAATTTTATCATAATTTTAATATAAACTTTTAAATATAAAAGCATTTTCCACAAATTATAACTAATCTTAAATCATTAAGTACATCTTTGATTATAAAATTGACTGGAGGAAGCAAATTAACTGAAACTGTCAAGCTATATTATTTCTCAGTTTGAAGTTAATTCCTTAAGATTTATCTTCTTGGTGATTTCACTTCTTGCTGCCTTAAAGAAACTATTATCTCAATCCAGTTTTAAACAAAGGTCAGATTAGAAAAGCATAAACTAATTTAAATTTTATTTCACCATTATTCCCAACTTTATAGTGTGTTAGTTGGACCCTTATCCACTTAGATCTCCCCTCAGCAGTCAGCACTATCTAAATAAAATAGTTTGCTTCTTGGACAGTGTCAAATCTTGGTTCTGTTCCTCTGTGTTGTTCATGATTTCTGGGTAACTTTTGCATGTTTTTCCTTTGCTTCTCAAATCTACTTGTCCCTAGTTTTTTTCCCCTCCACTGGCCCTATAGTTCTGTCCAGAGGGTAAAATACTTTTCAAGTATTTACCTGGATATTTAGGAAAAATAAAACTATCTCTTTACATCTGTTTTTTTTTTTTTCCTCTAAGACTCAGAAACATCACTCTGGGTCCATTGTTTGCTTTGTTGTTCCTGTTAGAAATGGAAATTTACAGGGCTAAATTATACAAAGAAAAAAGTAGTGAAATTGGAAAGAAGAATAAAAGTGTAGGAGATTGGAAAATTCTTTTGTTCATTTTTTCTCTGAAAGTATGGATTCACGCAGCTCAAAAAATCCCACTTTGTTATAAATTCTCAGTATCAGTTTTAGTGACAAATTATAGATTCAAAATATTTCAGGTAATAGTTTTTATATTTTCTAGTCCTTTTTATTTGTCATCTGTATGATTAAGCTTAACAACTCACCCTTAAACATGGGCAAGGACTTTCTAAACATAAAAGCAAAGAAAAAGCAAATATAATAAATATGTCTATATGTATACATGTATGATTCTCCAAATCTGTATATATAGATAAGCCTTCCATGATTAGAAATTGTTTGAATGCCTTCTATAAAATAATTCTTTTTCTCCTTATTCTAGGAGTCTATGAACTGGCTACTTTTCAGATGAAACCTGGTGGACCAGCTCTCTGGGGTGATGCATTTAAAAGGGCAGTTCATACCCATGTTAATCTAGGCTACACAAAACTAGTTGGCGTTTTCCACACAGAATATGGAGAACTCAACAGAGGTATAGTTTTTCCATTTCTTTTATGAAATTGTGATGTATATTGGTGACTTAATAAGTTCCTTGGGTCAATTTGTCCTTCATTTAGAATATGTTTTATTAATTGCTAAATTTTTAGTTTTTCTGTAATTTTGAGGGTTGAGAAAACCCATTTTACATCTTATTTAGAACGTTAACACCTTGTGAAGACTTTAAATGCTAAACTACTGTTTTCCCTAATATATCAAAATGATTAAATTTTAAAAACTAAAGGAACCTCAAGAAACAATCTATTCATCTTTTTTCCCTGTAAATGTACTTTCATTGATTTTTTTAATACCATTACTTGGGGTAAGGAGATTATTTCTGAGTAATATATATATTTTTTATAAATATTAAAGCCCCCCTCATAAAAATTTACCCATTTTCTACTACTTAGAAAGATATATAGTGTATATATCAAGGTAAATTTACATACATAAATTTATTTAATAAAGCACATATTTGGGGTATTTTATATATTTTGTGGGGGGCATTTAACTTTTACAATTGAAAGATATTATAATCAGAATTTCAGGGTGTTTTTGTGGAAAATGATGAAAAACATTGTAAAGTTTATCTGAAAGGATAAGTGACTAAAACTAGCTAGTAAATACTTGGAAGACTCATAATATGCAGTTGCTCTCTTATCTCCACTTGATATCCAACAGACATCTCAAACATAATATGCCCAAGGCTGAGCCCCTGATCTTTATGCAGAAATTCAACTTCTAGTAATATATCATAAGAAAATAGTCAGGATATACAAAAGTATGTATGTTCAAGTGGGAAAATGCATGGAAGAGAAAAATTATTATGAAAATTGTTAGATGCCTATCTCACACCATATGCTAAAATAAAATCAAGATGGATTGTAGATTTCAGTGAAAACAATTCATAGAATGGCTAAAACAAAAGATAAATTTATTTCATAATATGGATGAGAACTAGATTTCTAAGGCAAAAAGGAATGAAGAAACTATGAAGGGAAAAAAAAAATCAACTGATGATTTTATTAGATAAAGGCTCAAACTTTCTGCATGCCGTAAATCACTATAAATGAAATACAAAAGCAAAAAGAAAAATTTATTTAAAAGTAGATACAGAATATGCAGATTAAAAATGTCATTTTTTAACCTAATAAAGAATACTTATATGGATATAAGATTATTAATAGATGTCAGGAAAAAATAAGTACTCATATACTGTATAAGGTTCATATTATCTTTCCCCCCAAAATTTAGCAATATAAATGCCTTAATTATTTTCATTTTCTTTGCCAGTATTATTTTTAGAAAATATACATAGGTGTATATGTGTGTAGGTATGTTTAGTTATACAGGAAAGAAATTTGAAAGGATATAAAATATACAGTAGTCATATTTGTATGAAGAGATTAAAGTATTTTTTAAGTCTCTAAATTTTCTATACTGGATATGTATAACTTTTTTATAAGAAAAAACTGCTGAAAACGTATGTGCACACACTTTTGAATTTTAAATTCAGTTTCAGTATGCTAGGAGAATTGGGACTGTGCCAACTATAAATCACTACACCATTTCTGTAGGACTGTATATAATATATGCACTATATATTTGTAAGTGTGTGTGTATATATACACACTTACATATATGTATGATGTGCTCTTTGGTACTCTCAATTTAAATAATTAGGAGTTTATATTAAAGAAATAATCAGATCCAGATTGCCCAGGTTTGAATCCCAGTTCCACTACTTACTAACTTTTTGACCATAGGTAAGTGAATCTCACTCTGCCTTAGTTTCTTCATCCACAAAATGATGATAGTCATAACCGAAATTATTATGAGGAATAAATGAGTTAATACATGAAAAATGCTTAAAACCAGGTCTGGTACATAGTAATCACCCAATAAATGTTAGTAGTAGTTGTCACTGATATTGTTATTATAGATACAGATGTAGGTGTGCTCAAATGAAGTTTATGTCAACATGTCAATATTGTTTACATTAAGGAAATGTTGGAAACAATGTGGTTTGACCTTTTTATGTAATACACATGTACATTTCTGTAGTACATGTATATGTCATGTATTAATAAGCATAAACATATATGAAAATGTATAAACATACATCAGAATACAGACATATATACACAAATATGGAAAGAGATACACCAAATATAAGAGTAGTTATTTCTGGGTGGCATAGGAATGATTCCTATTTTCTCTTTTTGTTTATCTGCATTTTTGTATGTATTTTAACACCTTACATTGTAATTATAAAAAATTTATAAACAGTTATGTATAAGAACATTTATTCTAGTATTTTGTATAATACTAAAATATAGGAAATAATCTAAATAGTTAATAAGGGGTTATCATAAAAAGTCGCTGTATCTGTAAGAAGGAATTCATATAGCCATTAAAAATTAATACTGCCATAGAAAATACTGGTTTTTTTTGTTGTTTTTTTTTTTTGAGACAGAGTCTCACTCTGTTGCCCTGACTAGAGTGAGTGCCGTGGCATCAGCCTAGCTCACAGCAACCTCAAACTCCTGGGCTCAAGCAATCCTACTGCCTCAGCCTCCCGAGTAGCTGGGACTACAGGAATGTGCCACCAAGCCTGGCTAATTTTTTCTATATATTTTTAGCTGTCCGATTAATTTCTTTCTATTTTTGGTAGAGACAGGGTCTCGCTCTTGCTCAGGCTGGTCTCGAACTCCTGAGCTCAAACGATCCACCTGCCTCGGCCTCCCAGAGTGCTAGGATTACAGGCGTGAGCCACCGTGCCCAGCCAGAAAATACTGTTTTTAAAAATCTGTTACTATGTATGATGTATAATAAGACCATTATTTGGTTTTACTCCTTTTTAAAGGAAATACACTAAATATTAATAGAGGTTTTCTCTAGGTAGTTAACATTATGCTTTTAATTTTCTTTTTGTATCACATAAATGTTCAATAGTAAACACAATAATTTTGCTTTTTTAATAAAATACAAAAGGAAGTCATGAAATTTGGATCTTGTCTTGATCGTGCCTTTGTTTTAGTTTAGTAATTTCCTTTTCCAAGCCTTCTGTTTCTTCATCTTTAAAACCAGTTTGATTAATTTATAAATTTCTCTACCAAGTCTCTGACCTCTTTGAAATCTTATCACCGAAATATTTAGTTTTACCTTTTTGACATCACTATTTTGATTTAAAGAATAGAATAATTTTGATTTATTTTCCTGTTATTTCTTATTCATTAATGCCCTATGTTTTGGAGTCTATTTGTGGTTTATTTCTGCAGTTCACGTTCTTTGGTGGAATGAGAGTGCAGACAGTCGAGCAGCTGGGAGACATCGGTCTCACGAGGATCCCAGAGTTGTGGCGGCTGGTAAGCTGTTTCACTAGGCATAGATTATTTTCAGAACAAATTTGACTCAGTTAATAACTCTATATGCCTTCTTATGAACTTTTTTTCCAGTTCGGGAAAGTGTTAACTTCCTAGAATCGCAGCAGAATATGCTTCTGATTCCTACATCATTTTCACCATTGAAATAGTTTTCTACTGAAATACGAAACATTTCATTAACTGCTATCAGATGTGTTCTACTAATGGTGCTTAAATTCTCCCAAGAGGGTCTCATTTTTATTTGAAGGAAGTGGTATGTTGATACACTATGTCCCTTGCATTTTTGAAAGCTGTATGTGTCCTTTGTCACCTCCACTTCAGGAAATAGTTCTGTTCACTTTCCCCATGGCATTTCCGTATCTGTCGTACATTAAAAATATTTGTCACTACTTCAAGATCTTGACTCTTCATTTATTTCAGAATATTTGTTCTCTTTTGACAACCCTTTGCTTCATAGCATTTTCTTGTATTCAAATAATGTTAAATTTTCATGCTTGTGACCATATTTTTAAATTATTAATATGTATTATCAATCTTTTCAATATGTCTGTTTTCTGAGTTTTAAGTTTTTCTGTCCAGTAAAGTTTATTTTGTAACACCAAATGAGAGTCATGAAAATATTAAACATATCTCTTTACTACCGAAAAGTACATTATCATTTGTGTCATCTATATTAACTGTGGTTTTCACATTAGTTATTAGTCACTTACTTGGAAAATAATGGTATTAGGTCCTGGTATTAAAACCTTTGAAGACTCGTTGGCTTATGTGCTGAAATGTCAGCCATGGAGGGTCTCATGGCTAAAGTGGCACTCACCGGATTGGTTTTCCCTCCATATTTCAGATCCTGAAGCCAGGAGGGTCTTTGGTGAGGGTGTTGGAGAGTTCCTGGGTACCAGTGTCCTCAGGAGCATCATCACTGGGGTATATGAGAATCCGCAAGCTCAGTAACTCACTCAAACCAGGAATTAGGAGGTAGAAAATTTTTTCTAAATAAAACACTTTATTAAACACTTCTTATGTGCCAGGCTCTCAAAACCGAAATGAATAACACACAGGAACTACTCACAAGGAGCTCAGACTCTGACCATGTATTTGGCGTCAAGCTTCCCTTATCTTTTATATCACTGAGATGCTTCCCCCATATACAAGTCCATAAATCCTACAGGACTGAAGAAAACTCTAGCCTAACAAGATCCAGAAATTCCTGTGTCCTTATATTTAAAGCACTGGATTGTTACAGAGTAGAAGTTACTTTAATCTAAAAATTAAAGACTAGCTAATATCCACAACTTAAAAGAATAGGTAATAATTATGAGAATTATACTGAAAATAAGAACATGGAGGTTCCATGCTTTGACAGTGCATGGAAGCCCTGTGACTCAATTATAAAATTAAAAACACAACTCTAAAAATCCAAATATTTTATAACTTAATCATATATTTTAGCGAGCACAGATCATTTTACCTAAAACACATATGGCTGTCCCTCACAACAGCAGTATAAAGAGGAAAGGAGCTGAAATGCACAACAGAGGACTGGCCTATTGTTTCAGGGTTAGTTCACTGATGTTCTTTGCATGCAATATTAGTTTGTGTAGGGACCTTAGCCACAGCTGATAAAATCCATTCCACTGTACAATTCTTGAGTTCTCAAGAATCACTGGCTCTCAGCATAGAAAACACCCTTGGTATGCTTCAACCCTCCTCTCTCCTGGGGCATGGAAGACAAGCACGTACCTGAAAATATATACTGCTGGTTGTATATCCACAGCTGAAGTTCCAAGCTGGGGTACTTGCCAAAGGGTGGCAGAATCAGACTGACCACCAGGGCAGTGCAGACCAACACAAGTGGCAGGACAATTTATAACCAGGCAGTGAAGGGAAAAGAAGATAGTAGAAATACAGCAAGTGTTAGAAAGAAAGCCAAGAGGCACATCCCTATGAATTCAGCCAACCTCCCAGACCACCCAGCATAGGAATGAGGAGTACAGGGCCCACAGCCGAGCTCTGCCAACACATTCCTGGCAGCAGGGAATTAATAAAGCCTGAGAACTAAACTTCTTCATTGACAGCACGACGCCAGAGGCTATGGCCACCTGGCAAAGGCGGTAAGCTGGGCACTTCAGAGTAAACAGTGATCACATGTCAGGGTGACACAGAACGTTGGTTCCTGCCTTCTTCCCCCTGAAGACTGAGACCATGACCCTAGCTTGGCTCAGAGGAAGGCTGAGAGAATAAGCCCTGGACTGTGTGCTAGAAAATCCAATTTCTGGTTCTGACTCTACTACTCTTGTGAAGTCACTTCCCCCTCTGGCCTGTTTTTTTATTTGAACATGGAGACGGAGAACAGATAACCTATTCAGATCCTGTACTCTGATAAAACTCTATAGTAATGGCTCCAGTCAGAGGCAACTGCAGCTATTACTTCCCATGATCACCTCAAAAAGTATAATTATCTAAATCTTTCCTGAACTTCCTCAAACTTTCTACCCATACCTTCTCTGAAATAACGACTTGTCCATATTTTATAAGTAAACCCCAAACTCCTGCCTTCTATTTAAGTTTTTAAAAGATAATTTCTGTGTAATAAAGATTCAAATGATGATCCTGGTTCTAGTATTCTGGGGATTCAATGCAGAAAATTATCAATGAATGAATAATTCTATGGGATAATACTGTAATGAAAATTATCTCATTTAATTATCATTAGTACTCTAAGTAGTAGTAGTAGTATTTTCACCAATCAACAAAGGTAACTGATGATCAGAGATACTAAGTGACTTTCCCATCACATAGCTAATAAGTAGCAGAACTAGAATTTAAATCCAGGTCTATATACTCCAAATTCATGCTTTTTGCATATCCCACAGTCTGTAGAAAAGACTCTCCGTAGACCCTTTCTCTATACTTCTTAATTTTACAGAGTGAAATAATTTTATCCCTGCTAACCAAGCAAGTTAGCATGCAAACACCTACTTGCAGGCAATAGTGTAATGAGTTTTCTCTGTCAGCCAATTATATTCTGATCTCCCTGGCTACCTTTTCTATCAGTTTCCAAATAAACATCAGTTCAGAGAAAAATCAATTTTCCAGTAAGTTCATATGTTAAGTGCATTTGGCATAACATCTCTCATGCTATGAAAGTTAAAAAAAAAAAAAGCATGTATTAATGTTAGTCCCTATTCTAAGCACTTACTCATTCTTATCGTCATAACAACCCTATGACATAGGTAGTATTGCTATTCTCATTTTGAAGTTAAGGAGATTGAGACACAGAGAAGCAACTTGCCAGCAGATACATGAGTGCCAGCAGATACATGAGTGGCAAGCAGCAGAACTGGAATTGAATACAGATAATCTGGCTCCAGCATCCATATCATGACCACAATGTTATCTTCACTTGTCAGGGAGCCTGCAGGTCACCCATGAGGGCAGAGTCCCTGGCCTGGAACAGCACATCTCACCTGAGCAAAAAAATCCTTCCCAACTCCTGGCAATCAGCAGCCTCTTCCACAAAAGGGCCACACACTTGCTGTGTGAGTTCAGCCTTTCGCATGGTAGGAGCTGTTTATCCTGCTGGGCAGGTCTGTCTCTATGGATTCTGTGAGAAGCCAACACTGAGGGTCACCTGTCATCTTAGGTATTTTTGACATTGCCATGTTCCTCCCTTTAGCATCTTCATCAAGCCTTCTAATCAATAAGAAAAAAATGAACAATACAATCAAAAACTGGGCAAAGATAATAAACCGGGACCCTAAAAAATGAAAACATGGCTTATAAGATAATGAAAAAATATTCAACTCACAAAAAGTCAGAGAAATGTAATTTAAATCAAGATATTTCTCACCCATAAGATAAGCAAATAATAAAGTTTTACAGTGTAAAAATTAACAAGAGTGTGGAGAAAGGAAATTCCATTCACTGCTAGTATGACTATACATTTAGAAAATAAGCAAGATCTAGTTAAGTTGACTCAGTAATTCCACTTACAGGTGTGTGCAAGCAGATATGTATGAAGTTACTCACTGAAGCATTATTTATAAAATAAACATATGGAAACACTTAAATATCAATGGAGAAAGAATAAACAATCTATGATATACTCAAACTTTTATTATTACAGAGTAAGTAAAATGAATGAACCATCTCTAAACTATTTACTTTGTTACTTTTGGCAAGTATGTAGCCTCTCTGAATGTCTTTTTTCCTGTTTTTGTTTTAATCTGTAAAATGGAAATATCAGCTTCACAAAGTGAAACGAGGGTAACTAAAAAAGGATAAAATAAAAAGCATTATATACACACAGCACATACGTGATGTAGGGCATATTAGAATGTGATAATTTCTTGTCTGTGAAACAGGTATCACTGACATTGTCTTAGAGAAAGATATAGGAATGGGATATATGATTTGACAATAATAGATGTTTATTAAAACTTAAAAATGATAGGGGCAGCTAAGTAGAAAGAGGAAAGAATTAGTCAAATAAGGGTCTTAGTCAAGCTCTCTTCTAAGAAGTAATCCTTAAAAAAAAACCAAAAAGACACTAATAACTTGGATTGACCAATACGCCCCATTCCAAGAACGTGGTGACTCAGAAACAACTGTTTTTCAATGAAAAAATATTATGAAGTAGGAATTGTACTGAGGCAGCCTCTAAAGTTATGATTTTCACTAACTTTCATTTCAGTTTTTATTTTAAGTGGGAGGATCTGCAGATGATATCGGAGGAGAAGGAAAATTGGGTACTGTATTTTTTAATACTTGGCGTTTTTTGTATGAGAGCAACATAATTTTGAAAATGAAGCCTACTTCTGGTAACACTATTAAGCTATCTAGAAAAGTTAACTTAGAATGTTTTTCAGAGGGAATTTTAATCTGTGTAGTTCTGAGTTTCCATAAACTGTATGTCTATCAACCTTCATAAGAGATAGAGGGACATTTGAACTTATAAAGTATATTTGGGAAAATCCGAGGCAGTATCCTAAAGGACCTAATAAGGTGCAAAAGGGACAATAGGCCCCTCTTATTTAGACACAGGCTACATGTCCCTTGCATTAATGCTCCAAGCCCTGAATATAATATTGAGAATAAATGAAAGATAACAAATTATAAAGATTCTGTAAAAGCAATCAGTGAGGGCCAAGTAAAGTTAAAACAGGTTAAAAAGTTAATTCCACAGCTAGCAGGGACAATTTATGGAATGAAGAGAAATAAATACACATGAGAGCACCGGATAATGGGTGTTCATCTGGAAGAGAACCTCATGAAAAAAAGGTCACAAAGTGCATAAATGCATAAAGCTATAAGGTGTCTCAGTTTATACCAAGGAGAGACACCAGCCATATTTAATAATGAAAATCTAAAATAAATAGCAAAAAGTCCAGAAATACTTTCCCCATAACATTTCTCTCCAACTCCAAATGGGAAGCACATGGATTATTCAAAGACATAGACTTCCAAAGCTCATTTTAGGAAATGCAGGAAAAACTGCATTTATTAATGACATGTTTTTGAACATCACTGGCACTAAAATTCACTTTTTAATTCAAAACCTAAAGTAAGCCAATTCATTTATTATATCTAAAAAGGATGTAATGGATATATATTAAACTCTTATGTTTGTGTTTTAGTAATAAAAATACTTTCTTTTATTAATAAAAATACCATTAAATAAATTTATAGTATATTTAAATGTTGAGATGTTCATAAATCTTTCCTGCCATTGATTCTAACAAGGATAGCAACAAAGAAGCATATACAGAAATTCAAGACAAGTTTAAGAAGAGAGATGCAGTGGTTGTTTCCTTCCCTAAAGCATTTAATTCAATGTTCAATGTACACCAGGCACTTAACACATATTCAAGTGATATAAGAAGTTCCCTTTTTAAGAAAAATTGAAAGTTGATTTTGATTACCAGTTACTTATATTAATAACAGTGATAATATAGAGCAACCCACAAACATAATAGTAACTCACCTTTACTGAAATTTTTTCTCCAATAATCCATTATCACAAAAAAAAAACAAAACTCAGAACTGTAAGTGAAGTTAACTCCACTCTAAATGCCTATTGCTTAAATTACAAGAACTCAAAAATAACAAAAATAGACCTATGCAGACACCTAATGAAGGAAAAGCTAGTCTACGCCACCATCTAGTGGCCACAGAATGTAGCACTAGAAAAAGAAAGTACTTACCCAGGGATGTAATACCAGAATATAAACATCTAGAGTTTGTATGTACAGCAGCTGGCCCTTCTTCTCAGTTGGGCCAGCATAGGATGCACCTCTCTTCTTCCTTCTGCACAATTGCTTGAGCTGACCTTTGGACATAACCAAGCAGGAACACTCAAGTAGATGATTGCCTTTGCCCACCTCTTGTAATTCTACCACCCTTCAACTGGTATCTATTTGTTATGAGAAGTGTAAAAACACATTTTCACTCATCAGATCATATGAACAATAATGAAAAATTAGTGAAGAAAACCTCATACACTGCTATTAAGAGTATAAATTTGTAGAACAGTTTGGCACTATTTAATAAAGATGAATATATATGTGTGTGTGTGTGTGTGTGTGTGTGTGTGTATATATATATATAATTTATGACCCAGAAATTCCATTCCTGGGTATATACTCTAAATAACGGTTTGATACTGAGGGAGTCTATGGTTAGAATTCAGAAGGTCTGGTAACTTGGATGGATAAAAGTTATATTGTTATTAGCACCAACTTCTAACTGAAATTAAGCATTTCCTCTGTGAAGGTAGGCAACAAACCACAATATCATTAGCAAGACCTGTGGTTTTTTAGCCAATAAAAATCACAGATATTGTCAAATTCCATTTGTAGTTGTTGAAAATACATCAAAATTTCTTTTCCCTTGATAACTACTTCAAAATTATGATACTCTTACACCTACCATTAGATATTGTTATTTAATACCTTGTAAAGAAGTATGTCTATTTCTCTACCAAGAATTTTCTTTTAGTACTGCTGAGCAAAAAGAACAAAGCTAAAGGCATCATGCTAGACTTCAAAATATACTATAAAGCTATAGTAACCAAAGCAACATAGTACTGGCATAAAAACAGAAATAAGCCAATGGAACATAACAGAAAATCCAGAAATTAATTGCTGTATCTACAGCCAACTGATTTTTGACAAAGGCACCAAGAACATACAGAGGGAGACAATCTCTTCAATAAATGGTGCTGGGAAAACTGGATATTCGCATGCAAAAAATGAAAGTAGACCCTTTAACCTTATACAAAAATCAATTCAAAATGGATCAAAGACCTAAATGTTAATACCTGACAACTATAAAACTACCAGAAGAAAACATGGAGAAACACTTCAGCACATTGGTCTGGGAAAGGATTTTATGAATAAGACCTCAAAAGCACAGGCAACAAAAGCAAAAATAAACAAATGGAATTATATCAAACTAAAACCTTCTGCACAACAAAGGAAACAATCAACAGAATGAAGACAACCTACAGAACAGGAGAAGATATTTATGAACTATTCACCCTATGGGGATTAATATACAGAATATACAAGGAACTCAAACATCCTGACAGCAAAAAAAAAAATAATAATAATCAGATTAAAAAATGGGCAAATGATCTGAACAGACAATTCTCAAAAGACGACATACAGATAGCCAACAAATATTAATATATGAAAAATGTTCAGCATCACTAATCATCAGAGAAATGCAAATCAAAACCACAATGAGGTATCATCTCATCCTAGTTATAATGGCTATTATCAAAAATACAAAACAACAAGTGCTGACAAGGATGCAGAAAGGGATCTCTCATACACTCTTGGTGGGAATGTAAACTATTAAAGCCACTACAGAGAACAGTATGGAGGTTCCTCAAAAAGCTACATACAGAACTACCAAATGATCCAGTAATCCCATTACTAGATATTTATCCAAAGGAAAGGAAATCACTATATTGAAGAGACATCTACACCCCCAATTTATTGAGGGATTATTCACAAGAACCAAGGTATGGAATCAACCTAGATGTCCAACAACAGATGACTACATAAAGAAAATGTGGTGTATATACTCAAGCCATTACATCCATATTTGAACAAGCAGAAATGAGAAAGGAACAAAGGGAACAAACAATCCCTCCTCCACCCATTTAAGATCAATTGTAGGTCATTAGGGCACTGACACTTCCCACTGTCCAAGACTTAGTTCAAGGCCACACCAAGCTACAAGAATTTTATTACTAATTTTTAAAAATGGAGGAGGTTGGGGTAGGGGAGAATGGATAATGAAAAAAAGCTAGCAGTTTGCACGACCTTCCTCCAGCACCTTCTATTCTCTATATTCTACTATATTTTACTTCATAGTATTTATTAATTCCTGATAGATTTTCTCTTTGTGTGTTCCCTCAGCCCATATGTTCCTAGAGGACAGAAACTCTGTCTTTTGTTCAATCCTGTATCCTGTATACCAGTCTCTGGAAAAGTGCCTGGAGCATAGAAGGAATTTAGTAAATATTGGTTGAATGAGTGAATTGTTAATTCCAGGGGGGAAAAAATAGTCTAAGAAAATAAATTAAATCATATAGATCCAGTACTGACCCAGTCTTACCTCGTTACAAATAGATATCCCTCAAATGGAAAAATTAAGGCATCTGTCTGGAATTATTAATTTTAAAAAGCCTCCCTTCCTCTGAACAGATGATTCAAAAGCCCTTCCACAAGTCACAGCCGATACAACCACAGGTGATAGCCTTGTAATAATACCCTAGTCCTAAGTAACCAATATTCAGTAATGCGTGCAATAATGTAATTATTAGCAAAAATAAGGTAAACATTAATATAATGTAGACTAATGTAAATTAGTGATGTAATCAATTAACTATTTTTAATGCGAGCATTATTAGATGCTGGAAGGAAAGAACTCTGGGACGTGGTATAAAAGAGACATAAATCCTCATCTTCCATAGAAGGAAGTCTATAGATGCTATCCATAACTGAAAAATCTAGAAATAAAAAATGCCATTTAAAAATACTGAAACAGGCATTAGAAGAAACAGCTTGAAATGTTGAAGGTAGTTATTCTGGGGACCAATACTCCGGAGTTGGGAGGACTAGATCAGAGGTCTAATGTTTGGCTTTTAAAGTTTACATAACTATCTAGTTTCAAATTATGTATGTTTAACTCTGACTTTTTCATATCAGGCTCGGTGCCGTCATTCCTCTGAGCTCGTAGACAATTTCATCTAAATCTTGAGTAGGAACCTTCCAAGGTCACGCTGGAATAGTAATAGGGACGGAAAGTACACTCAGCGCAGAAAAGAGAAGGCTCGTTGGTCTACGGATAAACGTCCATCGCGCTGTAAAACTTAACCCTGGCAAAACCCTCCACGATTTTAAATGCAAAGCATTACACATGCACGCGTCCAGGCTCCATCCTTCCTTCCCAATCGAGAACCACAAGCACAACACCTACACTTTTACGAATTCTACACAACCGGGCATTGCAGCCTTTGAGATGATGAGCCCAGAAAGGTGTAGCAGGACTGATTTCAGCATTAAGCTCATTCTAATATCACCTCTGACACTGAGGAAACACAGAGAGACCAAGGGACAGCGTCAAAGACACAGACGCCAAGCTGACTGGCTCGACGCGCCGCGCCTCCCGGCCAGGGGCGGAGCCCACCCCGCCGACCCCGCCCCAGCCTGCGTCAGCCAGTTGTCCAGTCGCCGCTCGCTTCCAGTTGGGAAGTCTTAAGAGGAGAGTTTCAAGAAGGACGCGGCTGGCTGCCTTTCTTAGAGCTCGAAGCTGCGCCATGCTCGCCCTCCGGAGCGGCCTGACTAGGACGCTGGCCGCGCGGACGCTCGCGCCCCAGGTACGAGCCGCTGGGTCACGCCTGACCCCTAGCCCTGGGGGGGGGCGGCGGAGCGCCTGCGGTGGACGCGGAAATCTCGCGCATGTGCGCCCCCAACGCCGCTCGCCCTGCGCATGCGCGAACCCAGGAAACCTGCGACTGGGGTCCCAGGACGCGCGTGAGGAAAAAGGGGCTGCCAAGGAAAGGGTATGCTGCCGAGGCCGCCTCCTGACCCACTCGCGGGCATCCGAGGACATAGAGCTTCTGTGGCCTGGATGCCAGGCGGCCCCGAGGACACCCCTGGAGCGGTTTTGCAGCCCGGCACCGTCGAGGCTGCAGCTCACGGAGCCCTGCCCAAGTTGCGGTGTCAGGGCTGCTGTGGATTTGTGGCCTTATGGGCCACTGCCCCCTCCAGATTTTAGGTTCAACTGGGGAAAGGCCAACCAGCCGCTTGCAGCAGAAGCGGCCTCCCCCTTTGAAAGGAAATACACAACTTCCAAGCATTTTCCGGAGAAACTTGAGGCAGCCCAGGGTCCCGGTGGGTCTGGACCCCGGCCACTCACCCGAGTCTCCTGGGTCTGTCCCCAAGCCACGAAGGGTCCGGAGTCCTGAAGCCACCATGATAAACTCTTAACCTTCGATGAGAAATGTACAAGACAGTTTATGATTCAGCCTTACCTGTCTGTCGCACGTTGGCCTATTCTGTGAATCAAACCCAGAGATTTCTTTTTCTTGCAGTGTTTAGGCCTTTACTCCTTTCTCAAGGGGCAGCATAGGAAGGTTAACCTATTCCAGAGGCAGACTTTCTGGTGAACACTAAAGAAAAGCCATTAATGTCTATTCACTCTAGATTAACAGTGTAGTCTTTATACCTCTGAGTCTCAGGGAAGGGCCAAGGATTATTTCCGTACATTGTTATCCTGAACTTTGAGATTTTTAAAAACATCTACCAATTGTTCTCTTACAAGTGAATTGGAATCGTTGCTGTGAGAATGAGCCCCAACTTGGAGACAAGGGAACCTGAAGAACTCATGATTTCTGTCCCAGCAGTTAGTCTGTTGTGCAACAAAAACCTCAGCGCCCCCACGCAGCCACCCACCCACACCTCTCTGCAGTTAACCTTTTCCTGAGCTTCCCTATTATATATTTCTTCTGAGAAAGATAAAGATGTGTGCATTTGACCACCTATTTGTGCTCTGAAAGTTGCACATATCAGGATGAAATCACTTTGTCACACCAAGACAAAAATGGGGCTAGGAAGGAGGCTCAGGCTTACATGTCTAAGAAGTTTCTAAGGACTTTCTAAAAACCCAAGAAACCCTTTCACATCCTGCACGCATCGCCTGCTTTGATGAAGTTTATCACTAGACAGTCTTTAGAACTGCAGATTTTAGTTTGGAAAGAAGGCTTGCCCAGTAATGACATCTCCACTAATGAACTGACAACTCTGGTGTAGCGGCTGCTTTTCCCTCCTGAGCTTGATAGCGAAGGAATGAATAATTACTCGAAACACATGGTGTTTAGAGAATGGGAGAGGCCAAACTCTGAAGGAGAAAATGGCCTCCTCAGCTAAGTTCCTTCCTGTATTTATTTCCAAGGACACGTACAAAAGGTCAGGGTTGTTTGCTAATTTAACATCATACATGCAGGTCAGCTGTTTTCAGCTGACCTTCGCGCTCAGCAAACAAGCAGCTTCAGGCAGGTGTTTTCACCTCACCATTCACCCTGCTCATTTTCTTTCCATCCAGCTATCCTTTCTTCTAGGCCCAGCCCCCACATGTCCCCCTTTTTATTTAAAATTAGAGATGTAGGAGAAAGATGTAAGCTTCAGCCAGTGTCTTTTACGTAATGGCGTTGGGAGGTCATCAATTGACGGATCCGTCCTGGAAAGTAAAAAAAAAAGTGACAAGACCAAGCACAACCAGTTCATAATAGATATTTTTGGGTGGTCACGGGAATGCACCATATTGTATTATTTAAGTTGGTACCACACAGGAGGATTAGAGGAATGATAAGCTACTGACTCTGATATTAAGCTAGTCTGTTCCGTTTCTCTGCCAGGACCATAGAGACAACCATACTCTTCCAGTCCATGTCGAATCATTGGTAGACAGAGGGATCTCCGAGTCCCACCATGTTAGGGGCTTAAACACAGGCGGGTTTAAGACATGAGCCCAGTGAACTGTGGCTCTACCGCCTGGGAGAAGTAAAAGGAGAAAAAGACTGAAAAGCAGCCTTCGGGGCACCTGACTGCCATTACGGGCAACAATAGCCAAATACACCAGAAAAGTGTTCCCCAAGGTAGGAGGAGCCCCCAGTTGTGTTATCATGGCCAAGGCCTGTGTCTCCAGCTGTTTCAGCTGACCCCATGTGATCCTGGGCATCATTATGGTGTTACGGGTCTGTCGCGGAGGGACCCCGTCGGCAGCGGTTGGAGGGAGAGACGTTTCATTTGTGGAATCCAGCTCGTGACCTAGGCGAACTGGTCTGGAAGGGAACCACTCCGGACCTGCAGAAGTTTGAACACAAACATATCCTCTTCCCCGTGTTAACTCAATTACAATCAAAGGCCAATCTCTTGGAATTAATAACAGCTGGAGAAGGCCAGGTTGTAGCGGTCCCATAAGTACTATAATAGCGTTAAGGGCTCTTAGGTCCTATAGTAAACACTACTATTGTTCTTTTAGGTATGACAAATACGGGAGTGTTCCATGGGCTGAGGGAAGGTTCTGTGTCCCACTTTAAGTTGGTCTTGGACAAGAGATTTTAAATGTTTTAATTTATCCTGCTTAATGGGCCACTGCTCTATCCAGATGGGTGAATTAGTAGTCCACTGTAAAGGTGTGGGTTGTATTGGATGCACCTGAGCAGTGGGCCCTAATGAAAAGGCTGGGTAGTTAGAAGTTTCCATTGTTCTAGCAAGTCTCATCCCCGTAAAGATTGGCCCTCGCATAGGCAATGAAGAAAAGCGGATGGTTTACCAGGGGAGGAATAGAGACCCCCTTTGAGGGGGAGGAGGAGGTAGCTGCTTCTGTTGAACTACAGAAGGCAATCATGGAGAGAATGGCTCAGGATTCAGGAATTTTACGGCAGGGGACGCCAGCTCCTTCAGCAGAGCAGACCCCGGAGGAGGAGGAGCGGGTTCCAGGAGGCACCGGAACCCCCTGCTTAAGAGTCTTCTTAAAAATCTTCCCTTCTTGTTCCCAGAGCTCTAAATCTAATGTGCCCTCATCTGGGAGCCAGGGGTAATGCTATCTTACTACACATAAGAACTGTTAAGCTTTTGGTTCGAGAGAACACTGGGCAGCCTTTAAGAGTTGTTGCTAAGTGTGCAGATAAAATCGCCCATCTTTTGTCAGCTGCTGCCCCATATTAGAAATCCCCTTCCGAACTACACGCATAGGTCCCTTTCCCAAAGTAGCAGGCGGGACTGTCCCTTACCAGGATGATTCCCCTTGTAGTCCAGACGACGAACACTCACTGGACACGTGGATTCATGAATCACGTCGGAGTCACCTCTTGTAGCCGCCGCTTTTCACTCCTGAGCTCGGTAGCAAAGGAATGAATAATTACTGAAAACACATAGTGCTTAGAGAGGAGAGGCCAACGTCTGAAGGAGAATATAGCCGCCTCACCTAACTTCCTTCCTGTATTTATCAACAAGGACACGTGGAAAAGGTCAGGGTCGTTTGCTAATTTCCTTAACATCCATACAAATCAGCTGTTCTCAGCTGACCTTGCCCACAGCAAACAAGCAACTTCGGGCAGGTGTTTTCACCTGACCCTTCCTTCACCCTGCTCGTGTTCTTTCCATCCAGCCATCCTTTCTTGTAGGCCCAGCCCCTGCACTCTGGCTTTGAGCCTCTGGATCCAAGAACTGTTTCTAAGCAGCTTACAGGAACCTCTCGCTTTTTGCTAGTTAAAGCTTCCTTTTCCCATCTCTCACCGGATGCAGTGGTGGTTTGCTGGTCTGTGCATTTGTGGTTATAATCCTCATTTCTCATTCCCGAATAAACTCAATGCATTTGAAGATAATTTTCTCTCATGTCTTTTTTTTAGTTTGACATCTCTAAATACAAATCCCTGAAAGTCAGCTTAAAAAACAATTGTTACAAATACCCCAACTGGCTCATTTTCTGATATATTTGTTTTATTTACAATTTTTTTAAAATTATAGATACTAAACAGGGTTTTTTTATTATTATTATTTTCATATCATTCTGTTATTAGAGTTTGGTTAAATTGACCCAAAAAGAATGTGTATCGAAAGAAGGGGTAGCTGCAATTACTTTTGGTGGGAAGAACTGCTTTCCAATTAAACTTAGACACTGGGGCAATACGAACATAAGTCATAGTGGACATAAATGGAATGAACTCAATTATAATTAAGACATTTTACACATAAATACGCAGACATTTATATGTTATAATCAAAAATATGTCAGTGAAAGAAGCCTATTAAAACTGTTCTAATAGATAATTCTTGTTAGTCAGCTTTAGGAAGTTGTCTCATACTAAACAACCCTACTTAAAGATGGATTTGTAACTGGAATGCCACAAGAGTGTGTGTATACATGTGTGTTAATACATACATATTTGTATATACTTATATGTATACATGCACGCAGACACACAAACTGAGAGGATAATTTCTGGCAGGGCATTTTGCTACTGAAAGTTCAGTTCACTCAAGCTCAGAGAACCAAATTAGAACAGAAATTTACATAATGAGCATATGACTATTACAAAGGGAACTAACGGTTCTTAAAAGATAATTCCATCAACATGGTATAATTTGGTGTAATAAATGTAATTAGATACAGTGATTCAGACAATTCTGACTTGTTGATTTCTCCCTTTTGAACATGCCTCCCCCCATACAGTCTCCCCCCATGATACAGTGCAACTGGATAGGTCATAGCTTCCTTTTATATTAGTTACATTCCAGTCCGATTTTTGACCAGTGGTCTTCATCATTGAATTTAGGAACTACTTTGACCTGAATAGCCATTTCCATTCTTTTAGAAACTTGAAAAAGAAAACTAGTTAATCTTTATTGACATCTCTATATAAAGAAATGTATGTAGAGGGTTGGCAATAGAAGTACAAACTCAATAGAAGTACCAGACTCAGATTTGGTTGTTACATAATGTAATGAAACCTACCTTCCCAAAATATTTAAATTTGCTTTATCTTCTTCAGGTGTGCTCATCTTTTGCTACAGGCCCCAGACAATATGATGGAACACTCTATGAACTTCGTACTTACTACTTCAAACCTTCGAAAATGAATGAGTTCATGGAAAATGTTAAGAAAAACGTTCATCTTCGGACCACTCACTCTGAATTGGTTGGATTCTGGAGTGTTGAATTTGGAGGCAAAGTGAATAAAGTGTTTCATATTTGGAAGTATGGTATGAGTCATCTAGTTGAAGTGTTCAGTACAGACTTTCATCCTGTTAGATACTACATGAAACTTAGTCCTTGGATCTATATTACTATAGATACATATAGGTTAAGTAATATTTTTAAAAAAACAATACCAAAAAAATTAATTTAGTGATTATTCTTCCAATGGTATACCTCTAACAACCCCTTGCTTGAACTCTTATGTTATTATAAATGGGAAAATGTGAAGTCTCATATATCAAATCATAAAATTGTGAACTGGAAAAATTTTAGAATTTTTCAGAAAAAATCTAGAACGGTTTGTTATAAAGTTGGTTTATGAAAAATTTAGAGCAGTGATTGCAAAAGTCCAAGTGGGTTAGGATCAGAAATGGAAAGGAGAAGTATCTTTTCTTATTATTAAACCTATGGCCAGATATCAATATTTTAGCAGAAATAATTCAAACATTTAGGGGCTTTATGAAAATGGAGGTTTATAGGGGATGATGGTTTCTGAGATTTGGTAATTCTGTTATGTTTGAGACCACTTTTGTTTCGTTTCCATACCCCAGAGCTTTGAGGAATTCACTGTCATACTAACTCTAGAAAGGCAAAGGAAAAGGAATCAGAGAGAGTTCTTCCCGTACTAAAGCTTACCTACCCCTCGTTTAGTAGAGGAAGTAAAACAAGTTACAAGAATTGCCAGAATGTTTGTTACACCGGTGTCTATTCTTAACCATCCACATCAGGACTCGCTAATATCTAAAGAACTTTTAATAATTTCATTTAGTATTGAGCAATGTGTCCAAAGTTAATAGTCATAAGTAACTTAATATGAAAAGTGTTCATTTTATACTTAACATGGCTTTTCTTTAGTTCTTCCCCTGTTCTAATAAAAGAAGCCCCATTAAAACATAATTTATGTTCTAGATATACACAAGCTGAATCATGTCCCATTAAAAAAACTGCTAATAAAGCCCTATAAGTCACTTAAGTTATTAGATAAGTGTTATTCCTTGTCCCCAGCATAAATCATATAAAACCCTTTTACCATTAGTCTTAGATTAGTCTTAGGAGGCCCTAATAGTAAGTATAGTATAGTTGTCCCTGTGTGTTCATAGGGGATTGGTTATAGGACTTCATCCCACTCCCACCCCCTCATCCCTCAACCCCCCTACCTAGTAAATAACAAAATCAGCACAAGCCCGTTTTATAAAATGGTGTAGTATTTGCATAGAGCCTACACACATCCTCCCATATACTTTATATCATCTCTAGATTACTTATAATAACTAATGCAATGTATATGCTATGAAAATAGTTGTTATGCTGTTATTGTTTTTATTTTTATTGTGTATTTTTTTAATATTTTTAACCTGGTTGGGTAAATCTACAGATGTACAACCCACAGATACAGAGGACTGACTGTACTAGTCCCTTCCGTTGGTAAATGCATGTATCTGTTTGGGTAACTTAGAAAGAAAAGAAATAAGTGGTAGGGAAAAAGAATGATTGACAATAAGTAAAAAAATCAGCATTATTTCTTTGGAAGCTGTTCGTTCAAAGGAGAACAGGCTTAAAAAGTACATCTTAATTTCATTTATGTTAAATTTGATTCAAAGTACCTTGACCTGATCACCCACCACTGCCACCAAGGAAAAATAATCTTTCTCTAAACTAGCAGTATACATCAAATGCCTCAATTAATAAGAATAGTTAACATATACTGAGTACTAAGGTACTAAACACTGTTCTAAGGTCTTTTCATGTATTAATTCATTTAATCCTCACAAAAACCTTGGAGGTGGGTGTTATATTATCATCTCCATTTCACAGAATGAGAAACTCAGACACGGAAAGTTTCAATAACTGACGTAATTTACACAACTGCCTACTAAAGTGGTAAAGCCTGTAAAGCCATTATATGACATTAAAATTAGTTCTTTACATTTCTACTACCCTTTTAGACCATGAGTAACTTACGGGCAGTTGTCACATATATTTATGTTCGTATCTCCAGTGACAGAACACAGTGTTTTTATATGGCCTTGATGAACATTTGTTGAATTGAATGAAATCCAAAGAAAATTATAGGTGATTTTATATTGAAAATGTTTGTTTTTCTTAATTCTTTTCTTCCCACAGATAATTTTGCTCATCGAGCTGACGTTCAGAAAGCCGTAACCAAAGATAAAGAATGGCAGGAAAAATTTATCATTACAAATTTGCCTCTAGTTGATAAACAGGAGATTGACATTACTTATCTGGTACCATGGTGCAAATTAGAAAAGCCTCCAAAAGAAGGTAAGTCCTTCTTCCTTCTTAGACTTTGAGTTTTAATGAGTAAAATACTAAAGATCTAATGCTATAAAGACTAAAGTACCACAGAAGAAAAAATAAAAATTCTTTGGTTTATAAATGACTATATGGTGAATATGGAGATAAAAATGAATTTGAGCTCTTTGCTTATCCTTAAAACAATGAACATCAAATAATGAAGTACTTTTCCAAATTGGAATCCGACTGACTCTTAAAGGTCAAGTATGTTATATAAAAAGTCAGCATGGTCAGTAAAGGTGGAGTAGTGGGAATAAGGAGCAAGGAAAACAGGTATAGGTAGGTAAAGGGAGGTTTATGAAATTTTGTCACAGTTTTAAAATGTTATAAATTTTTAAATATACAAGTATTTTTTCCACAAATTCAGCTAATCTTAAATCATCAAGTACATCTTTATTTGCAAGACTAACTGTTTTGGGGAATAAATGAACTTAAACTCTTAAGCTATATTAATATAGATTAACTTGTATACCTTCCTCTTTCTCATTTCTCGGTTTGAAAATAATTCCTTAAGATTTGTCTTCTTGCTGATTTTACTTCTTGCTCACTTAAGGAAATAATTACCTCAATCTGGTTTTAAACATAGGTCAGATTACAAAAGCATAGACTAATTTAAATTTTATTTTATTTCTCCCATAAACTTAATTTTGTATTTTATTTTAAATTACTAGAGATTTGAAAAGTTTTATTTGGATCCTAGTACACTTAAAATTCCCCTTAGCTTTCAGCACTATCTAAATAAAATAGTTGCCTGCTCAGACAGTGTCAGATCTTAGTTCTCTTCCTCTATGTTGTTCATAATTCTTTAGTAACTGTACTTTTTTCCTTTTTGTTACACAACAAATCTAATCTAATCTAATCTAATCTTGTCCTGTAGTTTCTTTCTCTCCACCCACCCCATACTTCTGACCAGAAGTTATCAATAAAATGCTTTTCAAGCTTTTACCTGGATATTTAGGAACAATAAGACCATCTTCTTCAGGGTTTTCTTTTTTTCCTCAAAGGCTCGGACATGACTTCAGGTCAACTATTTGTTTACTGTTCTTGTTAGAAATGAAATCCTCTAAGGGGAATTATACAAAGAAAAAAGTATTCTCTCTCAAAATTGAAAAGAAGAGGGAAATGTAGGAGATCAGATAATACCGCTATTATTCATTTCTTTTTTAAAAGTATAGACTCGGCATTCTCCTAAGTGAAGTATACCAAGAATGGGAAAACAAGCACCACATGTACTCGCCATCAAATTGATTTTAACTGATCAACACTTAAGTGCACGTATAGTAATAACATTCATCAGGTGTCGGGCAGATGGGAGTGGGGGGTGGAGGGGATGGGTATATTCACACCTAATGGGTGCAGTGCGCACCGTCTGGGGGGTGGACATGCTTGAAGCTCTGACTCGGTGGGACAAGGGCAATATACGTAACCTAAACATTTATACCCCTGTTATATGCTGAAATAAAAAAATTACAAAAAAAAAGTGTAGACTTGGGCAGCTCAAAAATCATATTTCATTATAAAGTGTCAATATCTGTTTTATTGTCAAATTTTACAGATCAAAAACATTTCAGAGGGTAGTTTATACATAGCTTACAATCCTTTTTCCTTTTTTTCTTTGTGATTAAGCTTAACAACTGACCCTTAAACATGGACAAGGACTTTTTAACCATCAAAGCAAGGAAAAAGAATGCAGAGAATTAATAAATATGACTACATAAATATGTACACATACATGGGTCAGCCTTCTGCTTGAAACAAACAAACCTGATTAAAAATTTCTTGATTATCTTTTGTAAAATAATTCTTTTTCTCCCTATATTCTAGGAGTCTATGAACTGGCTATTTTTCAGATGAAACCTGGTGGGCCAGCTCTGTGGGGTGATGCATTCAAAAGGGCAATTAATGCCCATGTCAATCTAGGCTACACAAAACTAGTTGGTGTTTTCCACACAGAATATGGAGAACTCAACAGAGGTACAGTTGCCCATTCCT